CTGTACGGATCGGACTACCTGTACAGAATCGTACTTCAGGTACGGATCGTGCTGCTTGTAAAGATCGTGCTTCCTGTACGGATCGGACTACCTGTCCAGAATTGTACTTCCTGCATGGATCATACTTCTCGTATGGATTGTGCTTCCTTTACGGTTCGTGCTTCCTGTACGGATCGCACTTCTTTTATGGATCCTGCTTCCGGTACGGATCAGGCTTCCTGTACGGGGAGTAACAAAGCTCCCACACACACACTCAGTAATTACAGTTTTCCTGTCTGGGTGAACACTGCTCTCCATCATCTCAGGTGCTAATTAGCATCAGGCTGATTGCAGAGCAGCTCTGAATGGACGACATTCAGCTGAAAGTCATGGAGTCGCTCCTCCAGACTCTCTGGCTGGAAGGTTTTCTCTTCTATGTTTCTTCTTTCACGGCGGCTGAAGAGATTTTAGATGAGAAATTAAACAGCAGAGAAATCAATCTGCTCCCCAGAGGAGCTTCTTCTGGCTGCTGCCATTTGCAGGAGAAAAACAGTTTTTAACTCTGTGAGTTAAACTCATTCAGGTTAACAGCTGCAGGTTCAAGATAAATCCCTTTAAATACCTGATGATCTGACAACATTTAGCTTCATATTTCTCTTATTTCTGAACTTTTAAATATCACAGCTGATAAGTTGCATTTAATTTAATTAACTGGTTAAGAATTTAAGCTGTTAAAAATAAGAAATATATAGTTAATTATCACATTCTCACTGAATTGAAGGGACAAAGTATCTTTAATTAAATTTCTGTTCATAAGATTATACAACCTTAAAAGGTTTTAAAAGCTCTTTTTTTCTATTTTAATTTTAGACAGACTGTAATAAATAATTAAGACCTGTTTGTGTCGTGAACGTAGCTCAGAATGTTTTATGAATTTGTTATTTTATTATTGGTTAACTTGATTTAAAAGTCGCTCCTGTTGTAAGATAATTGGGTTATCTTCTTACTATCTTTTTTTACCCCCCTTCACATTTTTGTTCCTTTTTTTTCATCATATTTTTTTATTATTGCATGTTAATTTTTGTTTGTTTGTCTGGTGTATTGCTCAAACAAATTTCCCCTGGTGGGATTCATAAAGTGCTCTAAGTCCTATTAAGGATGAAACATCATGGAGGAGTTCTGGACAAACACAACAAAACGAATAGGCTGTAAATTCCAGTGTTGCATAAAAACCGCGGCATGGGGAGGAGTGTAAGCTCTCATTAATACGGAGTCTGATAAAGGGCAAAACAAAAGCGGCATTGCTGTGAAATAAAAGCAGCTTAGAGGCAGAGCAGCTCACCCAGGGAGATCTCGCGGGCGAAGGCCATGCAAACCAGCATCAGAGGAAGGCCCACGGACACATACTTGATGACCTTGTCCAGAGGAAGCTCCAGCTCCAGGTGGTTGATCCGGGGGATCCCAGAGCTGTCCTGCAGCAGGGCATCAGATAACATGGCCTTGGCCGCTGCACGGGCGATTGACATTCTGGAAACCTGCCGGCGGTAAGAGAGCAGGTTATTATTCAGGACAGAGGAGGAGATGCTCCCGGCATCGAAATAAAACAAGCAGCATCACTTTATTCTCACAGCAGCATCATCAGCTGCATGGGAAACAATAACAGGAATGTCAGCAGGATTCACAGTCTGAAAATAAAACAACAAGTTTAAACTAATAATGAAATCTCTTACTTGTCCAGCTTTTCCCCAGATATGGTTTGTTTGAAGAGCCGGAGAGTTCCTGAGCAGAGTTGGAACCCTCCTTAAGTATTCAGGGAGTGTCTCAGTAAATGAGGGGTTGGATCTGGGCTGGAGCGGGTCTGTCTCTAATTACAGAGTGGACATCTGGGAGCGTATATATGCCCAGATGGCACTGAGAGCAGCAGGCCTCCACTACCCGGCAGTCTGTGTGTGGTGGGGGGGTTAGCTATGAAACATGCTGGCTGAGGCCCACTTCAAACAACTCAACCCTCGCCAGTGGCTTTTCCTGCCTCTGTCATTCTGATTCTATTTTTTTCCGATGCTTCAGCCTTTGAGCTGCTGCTGAGGCGCTGCACGCTGCAAAACATGTAAATAAGTTAGTCAATTATTCTTAAATAAGTGAATTCTTTTTTTTACTGAGCAGGTAAGTGAGACACTTTGCCACTGGAACAACATTTACCTTTAAAAGAAGAACTCCAGTCTCTTGTTTTAAGTCCATATTATCTAATTATCTTATTTCAAGGGTAGAAATTCTCACTCCACTGGCAGATCATCTTCTTTTCCTCCTCAAATTAAGGGTGAATGCACTTATTTTAAGACATCTTTACTTATTTTCAGAAGGTTCTTGCAGTGCAGGGAAACATATTTCTGGCTGCATGCATTAAGAGCAGATCAAACATGGAGCCATGATCAGATTGAGGAAATGATGGTGACTGAAAAAAGACGTTTTTCCTTCCATATGCTAACACATCAGAGCTGCTGAAGGACTTTCCTTAAGAAAATATCCACTGGAAAAAAAGAGTCTTAGTTCTTAACTAAAGACATTGGAATTCTGGCCGATCTGGTCTGATGAGTTGAGGTTTTCAAACTCAGCCGGCTGACGATTCTCTCATGGACTTTACAGACATGGTGTGATTTTCTTCCTCATGTCACGGTCGTCCCAAACAGCGGGTCCATCTGTCTCTGAAACTTTAAAAATGATCCTCCCCACCAACATTTTCCCTCCAACATCTCTCCTGTGGCTGCATCATTTTACAGGCTGCTGCTGCTGCCAGTAATATTCTGACTATCAGAAACAGACCCTTCTATCAGCCAGTTATTTTGGCGGATCGGCAGACGTTCAATATTTCATTTTAAAACAAAACAGAAAATCGAAAACAATCCAGTGGACTTTGTTTCCAAGTTTGAAGACGTTTCTCTTCCATCCAGGAAGCTTTTTCAATTCAAAATGTCAGAAATAGCGTTTAGTTCCAGGTTTTATTCAGCAGCTCAACAAAGCCTGGTTTTGTTTAGCTAATAGAAACAGATGAACGGGTCCCCCCCTTTGGAATGGGGGTCATTTGGCTTCTTTGTTAGTCTGCAATGCCCCATACCTGTCTATGTCTCTGAAAGGGGGGGCGTTAAAGGGAATTGTTGGCCTGGCTGAACAGACGAGGTCTTCTGTTCTCCTGTAAAGGGGTTGGGGCTGCATTGATAGCGGGAAAGAATCAATTCTATTGCTGCAATGTAGGTTTTTGAAGCTGACATCTGAGTCACCCCCCCCCCCTGTTTAAGTTTGTTTTGTCTTTCTTAACAAAGATGGCTTCCTTCACATCCCTCTCAAACCGCCGGTCTTCTTTGTCCAAAATGTGAACAGTTGTTTGGTTTCTCCAATATTAAGATCAGATCATTCATCGCTGCAATGAACTGGAGACACCAGGATTTTGTGTTTGGAGAAAATCCTCTTGAGTTTTTCAGAGACTCCAGCAACATATGGGATGGAGATGTTTTTGCATTTAATCTTCTCACCGTTATGTTCTGCTATAAGTCTTTTGGATTTGCTTGCTGATTTGATGAACACCCAGTTTGGGTATCCACAGGTGAAAGTTGGTGTTCCAGTCAAAAAGAAGATAGAAGGTATTTTTATATATCAATATGTGGAATAGAGTAGAGTTTTAATGTCTGTTATTTTTTAGTGTTTGAGCCTGTGAATTTATTGATTAGCTGTATTTTTTTTTTTTTCCATATGCTTGCATTGTTGTTTATGGAGCCCCTCTGATGACATGGTCAAAAAAAAATTTTAATTGTGGCCACGGTTTGATATAATTCCTGGACAACTGGGTAAGCAAATCGAGCGCGCCTTTTCTAAGGTCTAAGGCGCGCTCGATTTGCTTACCCAGTTGTCCAGGAATGATATTAATATTATTAATAAGTATTTCGTGCGCACGTTAAACTTATTGCATGGCCACAATTAAAACATTTTTTTGACCATGTCATCAGAGGGGCTCCGTAGTTGTTTATTTACTGAGCATTTATTTATTTCTGTATTTCTGGCATGGTCATTTATTACTTTTCAAAAGTCCCTGATTTAATCCAAGAAATCTGCTCATCTTTTAAAAGCTCCATCTGTTAATCCAGACTGGGTTGGAGGGCCAGCAGGAGTGATGACTCCAGCAACAGCAATGCTCACAGAACAAACCCCGTGTTCGTCTACGTATCGCTTCAAGAAAGTCACATGAGCGTTATAGGATCTGTTTCTGACTGATTCCCTAAACTGGTTTAAAAAACATTTCTGTCAACGAGACGCATCTGGTAAAAAAATATCTCATCAGGCTGAACGTTTCAGCCGTCATCCTGTTCCTCTCAGTTATCTTTAAACTTATCTGAATTAAAGTTACGATCAAATTTACTCTTAGTTTACTGATTTAACTGTACTTATTGTTTTAAAACAAGCTTCCTCATTCATATTTTTAACAAAATTTTCATGTTAATATGTTCTTATTGGCTGCATCTAAAAATACCAAAGCTATATTCAATGTAAACGTAGATATGAAATAATAGAATATCACCTACAATAACTTCACTAATCTGATTGCACTCAGTCATCGTGTAGATTCAGGTTAGTCTAAGGCTGCCTGTAGTATCTTCAAAGGTCCAGCAGGTGCCAGTATTCTGTCACACAGTATCAACAGTTTGGCAATGTGTACAAATGCTTCGTGATGCCTCATTAACCCATCCCTAGTGACTTGTCTCTCCCCCAGCTACTCCGGGGGGGAGCCCCCCACATGTCCCCCCAGAGGGCCCCTTTAAGGTGTCTGAACACCTCAGCTGACTCCTGTTGATATGGATCCTCTCCTGGATGGCCGAGCCCCTCCGCCTGTCTCTAAAGGAGCTCCAGGCCCCTTTAGGAGGAGGTGTCTTTCTAGAATCTGGCCCCAGTTCCCTGAGGCTCGGGATGTAGACCCATTCTGCACCCAACAGACCCATCCAGTGATGCGCCGAGCCATCTGTTGATTCTTCCATTCTCTCCTCACTTATCACCTTCAGATAGTTGAACTCCACTTCAGCCTGGAAATCTCTTCTGACCTGGAGAAGACAGTAGGTGTAGAATTAACAAAAAACTCTTAGGGGACAATTATAAAATATTAAACCTTGTTCAAAATGTCCGCCATTGCTTCCCTGACACCAAATATTGGTTGTTATTCTGGCCGGCTAGATTGACTCTAACTGTAAACATGGATATCAGTCTAAGAATGGCCGATTTTATCAGTCAGTGGAAACAAGTTAGAAGTATTCAGACGACTCTGGACCAGATGCTAAAACATATTTTTAATTAAAAAGAAAAGCTCAGTCAAGCAGACAGTCATTAACATTTTAAAACATCCAGTTTATTCATCGCCCCCTTGTGGCTGCAATCTAGATGGTTAAGGTCTTCTAATGGGATTGACGCAGGCTAGACAGAGGCATCAAGTAACAAACTAGAAATACTTTGTTAATCTAGTAGCAACGTTGCCTCTCTAAACTTTACTGCAGTTATTATTTCTTAGACAACTTTCTGCTTCTATTCCTTACATTTTAACAATAGACTCATTAGTTTGGTTTCATTTAAGCTCATTTTCATTATTTAGACTTAGACAGATTTATTTTGTCATTTTGTATACATGAGTGTAAATGAAAATAAATTTTGTTTAAAACAGCTCTAGACAATTTCATTTTTAAAGTGCAGCCTTAAAAACAGTAATAAATACATAAAAAAATAGTTATATAAACATATGACTGTATATTTACAGCTCTAACATTCTTTTTTTTCTTACTTTGGGAAGATAGTTCAAACTGTATTTTTGGAGATTTATTAATTGTTATTATAAGCATATAATAGCCAATAATTACACTATAGATCATTGTAGTGCTTCCAAACTAGTAGCACCCATAGATAACCTCATCTAGTTCATACTAAAACTCTTACTTTTAGAATATATGCTAAACTCTATTTTTTAGATTTTTTCATAGTTATTCTAAGCAGGCCAGGTGTGCAATCTCTGCAACAGGAACCACAGCACTGAGCGTTGTGTGCACTGCACAAAGTATACCTGTCACAAATGCAGGAAGGACTCACCTTGGGTTTGTGAAAACCGCTAAATGGGACAATTGTAGCTTCATATGTAGAGCTTTTCTTTGGGTGAAATAAATGTTACTGCTATACTGAAATCATTCTGTTTGTCATTCTCTAAGCTGAAATGTTGAATGACATGAAAAGGCGAGACAAGACAACATACAATTATTCTCTAAGAGTCTGTTGGTGAATGGACAATATAAATAGGCTCTGCCTTGCCTTGTTGGAAAAGCTGGTTATGACCTGT